GTGCTCGCCACTCATTAGTCCTCAAAATAGGCTGGTGGGTGCGGAAAATCATGACCAGCCTGCATCAGTCAATCTACAAGGCATCATAATGCAAGAGATAATCGACCATATATATATATTTTGCGTTAAGCAGTGATTTAATTCATAATAGAAGGACATCTCGCTCCTAAATCCGTAAGACATGAATAAAATATTTTCGCCTTTATTGTCGATTTTTGGTGTCTTCTACACACGGCTGATATTACTGAAGTCATCGCTTCTGCTTCAAAGTGATCGTTCTATCGAACCCAATGTTGACGCTGTCTTGCTGATGTAAAAAAATTTTTGCCTGGGTTTTCAGGAAGGATATCAAACAATACGCTTTTCAGATTTTCGGATTTTCAATTTTTTGGTATACTTTGTGCTGGCAATATCGCACAATCGGGGTTTGCAGTTCTCAGTTGACGATTTAGCAATTGTGACTCTCGCCTACGATATACGCTCAAGTTGCTTGCGAAATTACTTGTTTGTAAAAAATTTCGATGCTATAGAATGAGCACAGTTCTTTATCATTCCCTGACTTTATTAGGCGAGTAATTCAACGTCGGATTATGTAATACATAAAATCTACCTATTTACAAATACTATACGAGATAAAAAGCAATCACGATATCTTTATATTGCGTAGAGCCGTGGATACAGTGCAAAAGAAAATTTGATTTATATCTCAAAACCTAATACTAAGTATTTAAATTGTTGAGGTTTTGTTAAAACGGTTTGATTAAAATTTGGTAAACAGGTAAATATCTTAACCTCACAGCTGTAGGATCATGCTTTCTGTATTTCACTTCTTAGAATTCCATCTATTTATCAAGTAACTATCAATAAGCAATGGCTCCAAACCAGGCAACAGGTATGCATGATAATTGTACGACCCTGATTTCGGCATCGCGTCTATGCATCCTCGTGACGGGTGCTGCCGGGTTTATTGGATTTCATACCGCAAAAGCTTTGCTCGCGCGTGGCGACGATGTAGTCATAATCGACGAGATGAACGACTACTATGACGTTAGACTCAAACAAAGCAACATCGACTGGCTCGTGAAGACGTACCGCGATCGAGTAACGGTTATCATTGCCGACCTCTGTGACGAGAAGCTGGTACGCCGTGTGATAAAAGAAACCAGGCCTGACGCTATGGTGCATTTGGCGGCTCGCGCTGGCGTGCGTCCTAGCATTGATAACCCACTCATGTACATTCATGCCAATGTCGTGGCAACAACGTTGCTGCTAGACGTGTGCCGCGAATTTGGCATCAAAAAGTTTGTATACGCTAGTAGTAGTTCGGTGTACGGCGGTAGTATGAAGGAAAAATTCAGCGAGACTGACATTGTGGACTTTCCCGTAAGTCCGTATGCCGCGACCAAGAAGAGTTGCGAATTGCTAGCGCACACATATCACCACCTGTACGGCATGGACACTATTGGGTTGCGCTTCTTCACAGTGTACGGGCCACGAGGTCGTCCGGATATGGCTCCGTTCAAGTTCATGGATCGTATAGCTCGTGATGTTGCAATCGACCAATATGGAGACGGTTTTTCGTCGCGTGACTACACATTCATCGATGACATTGTGCAGGGCGTTTTGCTGAGTCTGGACCGTGGTCGTGGATGTGAGGTGTTTAATCTGGGTCGTGGCACACCGGCGCTGCTCACTGACTTTATTGCTACCATTGAGAGATTAGTGGGTAAAAAGGCTAAGATTAACATTCTGCCTGACCAGCCTGGTGACGTGCCTCGAACGAGCGCAGATATATCCAAGGCAAAACTTTTACTTGGGTATGAGCCATCAATTTCTCTAGAACAAGGTCTTTCAAAGACTTGGGATTGGTACTCAAATCACTTTATTTCTGAATCCGCGATCCTTCGTGATGATTAAGCTTTTTTTTAGTTTTGCAATGAGACAACATTTTCATCGCCGAGATGAGCTTATATTAATATATAAATATATATTTCTGTGTGCAGGAACTTCATGATTTGTCGTTTTTGATTAAATGGAAATTAAACTGAATGATCAGCGTAAACACCCAGCAAAGTGCAGTTCTGTGTAAGTGTGCGACATTGCAAACTTATAGAAACGATCACATCACCTGAAACACATGCATTTTTTGGGTCTGTCTCGTACGTATAATAGCTATTCTCGAAGCCAAAAGGTGGCGTTAGCTCAATTACCTATATAGATAAAGTACACAAACCGCGCAGATATCATGTTGCGTGTTCTTGATATCGGATCAATCAACTCATGTCACTCTGACAAGATTCAGACGGTGA